TTTACGGCTTATGGTTTAGGGTTTAGTCTTTATACTCGTTTGGGTTTAGGGTTTAGTCTTTATACTCGTTTGGGTTTAGGGTTTAGGGTTTAGGGCTTAGGGTTTACGGCTTATGGCTTAGGGTTTAGGGTTTAGGGTTGAACGGGTCTTTATGCACGAATCTGTCTCGGAAGTAGGTTACAGTGAAGGAAAAGGGACTCTAAGGGCGAGACTGCTTACACTTCCGAGCTCTATATCAGTCTTGTGAGGGCTCCTTTCGGGTTTCGGGTTCTGGGGCCTGTTGGATGTAGGGTTGGTTTACGGCTTCAAGTCTCTACGAATTAGGCTTTAAGGAGTATGGTTGAGGATGGTGAGGACCCCCTTAATCAGACGCTTAAACCCTAAACACTGTCAAAACCTTTACCAGGATATGCGACTGTCGCTTATGGCCCAAGCTCACCTGCATGCCTTGTCTGTCAGGTTCAGAGTTCACATCTGAGCCGCATGTTCTGTGCTCTGAAACACCCAGAAGACACGGCACCTGCGATTTCTGGGCTATGTAGAGTACAACATCTTTCCGAGCGCCTGCGACTGTCGTCCAGGGCTGAAGCTGACTACAGCACTTGCTTAGAGCTTCGCAGAGTTTCCAATCTTGAGTTTAGTGTTTGCGGCTCCTCGGGCATTTTATGCTATGCTTACCCATACTCGTACGAATGATCCGGACCCTTAGGGTCTACCAGGCTTCGGTTGGGACAGGCGTGGAGGATCCGTTTGAGGCTCCTTCTGAAGGTTTCTACAAGACCTACAAGGGGGGCACTTTAAGGGCTTGGCGTAGGGCTCTAAGAAATAAGACCGGGGGCTGTAGGTGATGCTACAGCATGAATATCATTAGGAAGTCTACGGAATGGTAGTATTGGCATGGATCAAGACTCCGGCAACTGCTTAGAGACCCGGTTCTCCGATGAATGGCACGGTTTAGGATGGATTATGCTTCATGTTCCTCCAGGTTAGGATTTTAGGGCTTAGGGGTCCCAAGCACTGCTTTCCTTTTCACCAGTCTTGGAGACTGAAGGTGTCTTGGACGGCCTTTCCGGAAGCGTGTCAGCTTGACCGTGTGCGCGCCTCCTACCTTCGAGAAGACCTCATCACACGGCATTTGAAGCTGGCTGGAAAGGTGCCTCAGAAAGTCAAGGGCGCATTGCCCTTTTACTGTACCATGCCCCAAATTCTCAAGTAAGGAACTACTGCATATTGCTAGTCTAGAAGATGCTCCCAGTTGGCAAGACCGGCATATTGCGCCGTCAAACCATCAACAGCAGCACGTTGGGCCGTTGAATTTGGGGTATTTTGAAGATGAACGTCACACGATGTCTCTGCATCCGCTGGGTGTGCATCACACACACCCAGCGAAATGTTGCAAACAAATTCTGCAATCACCAAGTTTCCAGGCATTGCAGGGCCGTGCAGGGTATATACAGCAGGCTGCAGTGGAAAGGGAGCAGCCAAGCTCTTCAAACTGATGGCCATGAAGAGTCCCAAAAGAAACAACAGAGGCAGAGCTGTTAAACCGATTATGACGCAGGGTTTCATGATGAACCCGAGTACCACATCATTCAGTATACAGCGAGAAGCACTCTAAAGCCAGAAAATGCCAGAAAACTAGTCCAGTCAAGAAGTCAGCCCCCGGGCGACTTGAAAAAGTCCTACGGCGGTTCGTTCCCACCAGTTCATGCTAAGCGCATGGAGGCTGGATCAAAGACGACAGCAACTGAAAGGCTTTAGGTTCTACCTGGACCCTACAAACCCTACCTGTTGAGGGATCCTCAGTATGACTTCTTGATACAAGTGCTTTTAGAAAGGTAGGGTATTTGGGGGTTAGGTAGGTTTCGCCTGGATCGAAAGCGGTGCACCTTCTGTTGCTGGTGCTTGGTAGGGAGCTAGGGGATCTACTTGACAGAGATGCCTTTCATGGGAAACCTGTAGTAGAATTCTGTATGGCTTCGATTCTTCAGTCAGCAATATGCCATGTCGCTTCCTTTTGCAACCCGGCAGTTGTTGGAACTCAATTTTGGTAGCGGTACGATAGGAGGAGGCCGGGGTGTTGAGTTTGAATATCTGGAACAGCCCACAACTGCGGCATCGCAGGTTCCCAATGCTTTCGATTTTGGGTTTAGGGGTTAGGGTTTAGGGTTTAGGGTTTAGGGCTTTCGATTTTGGGTTTAGGGGTCGACTGGGTCTCAGAGGAAGTCTGACCTGTGGTCCAGGAGGACAATCCCTGAACTGCAACACTTCCATCTGGGTAGAGCTACGCTTCTTGACTCAGGGTTGCCATAGCATGCAGAAATGCCAGACCACGATCTGCAGAAACCCGAACCACCCACGAAATCTCTACGGGTGCTTTACAGTGTCCGTTGTGTCAGCGGGGAAGACGAGTGGTGCCCGTGATCCATCCTCCAAGCGAGGGCGGCTGTACATCCCCATCAAAGGCAAGCTAATGGTATCCGACTGGCCGCAGGAAGCTATACCTGCAGACTTGAAACCAATTTCCACACGGACGCGCACCTGACCATACGTGGCAAACTCTGGGAACAGTGGCAACCATGATTAAACCACCGACCATCCTAAGACGCACGAGTCGAGCCATGCTTCGATACCTGTAACACTACACCATGGTATTAAGGCTCGGGTTGAAGGGGCATTTTGGCTTTAGGGCTTAGGTATTGCCTAGGATTCAGGTTGGACTGAGAACCTCAAAGCACATCAGGTGATGTCAGCTTCTTCATCATCATCACACCATGCCCGTCACTGAGCCTGTCATCATCACCACCATCAGCCTAATGGCGACTATCATCGACCGTCAGGACCATGGTCGATATCAGCGGCACTGTCCCACTTGCTAGTTGATTACTGTGGTTCCCACCAACATAGGCATAAATGCAAACGACGTCGACTTCATACCACCACAACTACGACGAAGACGACCGACGACCGGCGAGAAAAGCACGAAGCCACTATCATTCGAGCATGCTGTTCTTCTCCTAGGCTATTGTACTGTTGCCGTTGGCATGCTGGTTAGTTTACTGTGACCCTCCGTGGCATTCTAGTGATTGCTATTGTTGCCGTCCTCGTTTTGATGCCTGGTCTTGCTGTGATCCGTATCAGCCCATCGGTAGGGCGACGGGTCTTACTATGGCTACTGGCAACTGGCCGTCTATGAGCCTATGAGGATCTCCTACGCGCTGTGCTGATCCCAGAGCTTGCAGGCTGTCGTCTCAGTTCGACCCTTGTCTACTGCAAGGAACGGGCCGTTCAAAAACGAACTGATGTTCAAGAGCCGTGCCTGAAAGTTCCTCACCCAAAAACAGGCCTTCCGGGCTCCTCTCTCTGGAGCCCCGGAGGCCTGCCTGATGGTTGCAAAGGCTCCCAGGCACCCTCTTTTCGAACAGGTTTTCCTTCAAATTTCTCTTCATGGTCATCCCCCCAAAGGCCAGTTTGCGGCCGGGGAGTGCGGGAAACTTCATCCGAGGAAGCTCAGCCCTTCTGCACTTTTGGGCCACGGCCGGTAGCCGTACAAAAGTCCACCGGCGTGGCCATCGGAAGTTTCCCTTCATGGGAAAGGCTGCTATCATTGCTGACACCCTGTCATCTCTGATATCTGCCTAAACGGCAATCGCTTCAAGGAGGTACCGGGCAGAAGATTCCCAGCAAAATCTCGCAAAAGCCCGTAGTCATTACGCCCATTGAACCACCGCCATCTGCCGGGTTTGGGCTTGAGGGCTCGGGCTGACAATCAATACGCCTGCCGGCTAATGTAGGGGCCTAAATTATTACCAATAC